AGAGAGAGAGAAAGAGAGAGAGAGAAAGAGAGAGAGAGAAAGGGAGAGGAGATTTAGTGGGGAGCGGGAGGGGAGGTCTGCTGTGCGTATAAATTTTCTTTTACGACATGCAAAAACTCTTTTACTCATGTTGAGGGTGTTTATCATTTGATCTTGATCTGTCTTGATAACGAGGCTGAGAGGTAGCAAAGGGAATCTGGTAGTCGCGGTTGGCACACACATCTTACCAAGGGGAATTAATGCAGTCTTAAGTGAAATAACACAACTTATGAAGGCACCAAGACGGCACAACGGTTGATGGGGGGAAAAGTTTGTGGTATGACCCAATAACATTTTGTCAAAGTTTTATGTTCCTGATAATGATATTTCCGTGTCGCCTTCACTTTTGACGACTGGCCCCCGAAATCTGAAAACACGGAGAGAATTTTAACTTTTCACCCTTTCAAAATTCACTCTTTTTTGAGCATGAAGTATTTGTGCGCTACTGGGGCTCTCGAGGTCTGGGCGAGGGATGGATGTGAAATGAAGCTCAGTGGTGACAGACAGTTAGTCGCAACAAATGTTTGATCTGTCCACCTCATCACGTCTGGGAACATGCTGGCTAACCCGCAGCTGATCTTTTAAAGCCTGTGTCTTGTTCTGCCAAATCGGAGTGACCCAAGACCTTTTCGCATTCCTTGGAAAGTTTTTTTTTTCTTTTCTTAATGTGAAGGAGAGGGTTCAGGATTAAAAAAAATAGTTCGCAATATCGTCTCTTCTCTGAACTCATGAGTCCACTCGTATCAGATTTTCGAAACCCATCTTATGTAATGTGTACTTTGATTTCCCGAACGCCACCCTCTCTCCCCGTCTCTCTCCCCTCTCAAACCACGAATCAAGCAAACAGACAACAAACGAACGGACTGAAAACCCAACCTGAAATCAAGACAAAAACAAAGACAAAGATAAAGACAAAACTAAAGAATAACAAAAGAAACAGACGTACAAGAAACAAAGCGGACCTTTAACTTAAACTTCCAAACATAGACAACGACTAGTCAATCTATTATTAGGCGTTGATGCTCACTTTCCCTCTTAACCCACCTCCCCCCACCCCCTCAACCCCGCCCAACTCACCCTTATCCAGCACCCGCGCAACAAACGCATCTTTTCTTCACACTGCACACAGACTTGAGCATCAGTCCGTTCTTCTATCTCTGTGAATACTTCATTAAGCAGCAGGGGGGAGTTAATTTGAGGGTCAGTGACATCATTTCCGGATTCAAGATCCGCTCTTTGTGACGTCACTTCCGATAGAGGGGCGAATAATTCTCGCCGCCACGCCCGATAATTTTACACTCTCTGCTTTAATGCCGTTTTGCCACGATAGAGGGCAGTCTTAGCACCCCCTTTCCTCCGCATTTCAATGCATCAACAATCACAACTCGCGACTAAATTACTGCAATCTCGAACCTCGCATGACGAAGCTTACTCGCTACTTAAGCTGTCGCGTCGCAAAACAGTTCCAAGACATTATGCGATGACCTTTATTCTGTAAATACTTCTTTTTTTTCTTCTGTCTGATTGTGCCTGTCTCATAATTTTGTCTTTTACTTCCTCTATCTCTCTGTCTCTGTCTCTGTCCCTGCCTCAGTCTCATTCTCTTTCTTTCTCTCTTTCTTTCCATGTCTGTCTGTCTGTCTGTCTGTCTGTCTGTCTGTATGTCTGTTTGCCTGTCCCTTCTCTCTCTCTGACTCACTCTCAGTCTCTCTACC